TTTTTTTTAAAAAGAATATTACTAATTTTAAAATTCACTTATGCTTTCGAATTCTTTCATTATATCTCTGCTCGATTAGGATTGTTCATACAAATATGTTTACATTTCTTGTAAACATACACATAAGTTGTTTGTAGATTACTTTCGACATTGATTAATTTTTATTGATTATTGATTATTTTCATTCTTCGAATCTTGAATTACGTCACGGGAAGTTCCAGCAAATTACTTTAAGGCACGATGCCACTACACCACTAGTTATTTGTATGGTTTGTTTCGTGGTAGCCACATAAATGTGTTGTAAAAGTGATATAATGAAACGTTTTATATTACATTTATGGGGGCATCAAGTTACTAACATTCGACGTGGAGGTCTGTTTATTTACATTGTTTGTAGTACTATTTTTTTTACCGAAAATGAAATGTTTCTGAACATTTTGGCATACCTTTGAAAAAAAGGATGTGTGTATGTTTTTTTTGCAAAGGAAATGCGTTTGGCCATCCCAGACTAGGTCTTTTGTCTGGGTATGTCGGACTCAATACTGTATGGGTATAATATGGACTAATAACTTCCGCATATCTCTTGTGTTCTCTTGCTTCACTTTATGGTGGGAGGATCTAGAATGCTATGATTTTTATGTATATACAGTTTTTCACCGACGTTTTGGAGAATATGAATCAACCGATTTGAATTATTTAAAAGTTTTTGCGAAAGGGCAGGTCTAGTCGTTTCACTCGTTTCTGTGGTGCAAAAAATACTTATGCTTGATTTTTTTTTAGATTTTTTGCAATGATTATTTTTAACTTTAAAATTTAATAAAATTCTCGAACTCTTTCATTCTATCTCTGCTCGGTTAGGTTTGTACATACACATATGTTTACATTTTTTGTATACATAAGTTGCTTGTAGAATACGTTCGATATTGATTAATTTCCATTGATTATTGATTATTTTCATTCCTCGAATGTTCAATTAAGTTACGGGTAGTTCCAGAAAATTACCTTAAGGCACGATGCCATACACCACTAGTTATTTGCACGGTTAGTTTCGTGGTAGCCACATGAATGTGTTGTAAAAGTGATCCAATGAAATGTTTTATAAGACATTCATAGGGGCATCAAGTTCCTAACATTCGACGTGGAGGTCTATTTATTCACATTGCTTGTAGTACTATTTTTTTTTAACTATAACTATGTAATTTTGGGTAAGTTATAGTAATCTAAAAAAATCGAAAAATAAATGTTTCTGAACATTTTGGCATACTTTAGAAAAAAAGTATGTGTGTATGTTTTTTTTTGCAAAGGAAATGCGTTTGGGCATCCCAGACTAGGTCTTTTGTCTGGGTATGTCGGACTCATACTGTCTGGGTATAATATTGACTAATAACTTCCGCATATCTCTGGTTCTCTTGATCTAGAATGCTATGATTTTTGGGTGTGTGTGTAGTATGTATGTACGCGCGGATACAATTTTTCGTCGACGTTTTGAAGAACACGAATTAAGGGGGTTGTTTGGTTTTTATTTTTTTCGATTTTGAGATTTTTTGATAATATGAAAGCTAAAAACCTTAGAATTATTTAAAACAAAATCATCTCAATATCTATTTTTTGACGAATTTATAGATATAAATATCTCTATATGTATGATCCTCTGAAACCGTTTTTTTCATCGCTCCGCGAGCTATTGTATGCCAGCTGCTCTCTTTTTCATTATAATACCTCATGCTCATGACCTTTTTAATGTGTCAGCATCTTTGAACATCATGGTGTATTTGGTACATTAAATCAAATGGTGTATTTAATTATTCATAATTCGGTTCGATTTCAATTATTCATAAAAACATTGTACTTGTATTGACGAAATAAAAAATTGTCTAAAATTTTCGGAAGACATTTATCAGATATTTTATAGAAATTGTAATAATGAGTACAAATTTTGTTCCCGTATTTTAACCAATTTCTTTAATTTTTTAAATTTATAAACTTACATGGTCCAAACAGTCTTCGATATTTTTGACGTATGTATCAACCGATTTGAATGATTCAAAAAGCATTTTATTCATACTGAATGCAAGACGTACATTTTAGTTTTTACTAGGTCTAGTCGTTTCTGTGTAGCAAAAATGGTCATGCAAGGAATAAATATTTTTAATTTTTTTTAAAAGAATATCACTAATTTTAAAATTTACTTAGATTCTCGTATTCATTCATTCTATCTCGGCTCGATTAGGTTTGTTCATATATAAATAAATAAATAAATATTTGTTTATATTTCTTGTAAACATACACATAAGTTGTTTGTAGAACACGTTCGACATTGGTTAATTTTACGTTACGGGAAGTTCCAGCAAATTACGTTAAGGCACGATGCCACTACACCACTAGTTACTTGTACCGTTTGTTTCGTGGTAGCCACATATCTGTGATGTAAAAGTTATATAATGAAACGTTTTATTTTACAGATATGGGGACATCAAGTTACAAACATTCGACATAGAGATCTGTTTATTTACATTGTTTGTAATGCTATTTTTTTTAACTATATAATTTTTAACTTCCCAGTTATAGTAATCAAAAAACATCGAAAATGAAATGTTTCTGAACATTTTGGCATACCTTAGAAAAAAAGGATGTGTGTATGTTTTTTTTTGCAAAGGAAATGCGTTAGGGCATTCCGGACTAGGTCTTTTGTCTGGGTATGTCGGACTCAATACTGCTTGCGTATAATTTCGACTAATAACCTCCGCATATCTCTTGTCTTTGGTTCTCTTGCTTCACTTTATGGTGGGAGGATCTAGAATGCTAAGATTTTTATGTGTGTAGTATGTAATGTATGTGCGGATACAGTTTTTCACCGACGTTTTGGAGAATACGAATCAACCGATTTGAATTATTTAAA